CAAAGATAAAGATAAACAATTCATAGTCAGAGCAAATCTCGCAAACTACTCGGCAAAGCAATGCTTTGCCATGCTAACTTACGAAGCACCTTAGCCAGTACAATGAATATTTATGCGGATAGAAATCCGAGGCACTCTTACCATTCGTCGCAAGTTGAACATTTTTTGTTTACATATATGATAAACATACTCAAGCGTAATGTGTTTTAGTCGAGAAGGAAAGTCCATAATGCGTAGAATGCATGGAAAACCTAAACATATATTCATCAAATCTTTCAAAATGCCATAAATCAGGAAAACGTATTTTCATTGACTTACATGTGACCCCAAAAACTTACCTGAAAAACAACAAAAAAAAAAGAAAATGAATTTGGTGCGATTTACAGTGGAATTCTGAACATTTTTTTTTTGTTGCAAAACTGCGGAGTGTTCTAAGAGTGTTAGATTGCAAGACAATTTTCTCTATATATTTTCTTCTTTATTTTCCATATTGAATTTGCTTCTTGCTCTAATTATTGCATAAAATTTTTCCAAAAAGTAATAAAACTTTCTTCTTATTTCATAAAATGCTTTTGAAAACACAAACGATGATGATCTACACTAAAGCTTACACGTGTTCTATGCATGTACAGTCACGTCTTCAACATCGGAGGACGTACTAATTTTGTCATTGTGTTCGTAAAATACGATAACATTCGTCCGTAGCTCGTATGTACTCTTCGGTCTGACTTTTTTATAATCATTGAAATTTGCCCCTCGGATCCCTGGCGGAGACATCTATCTATTTATCTCCAGCGAAGATCAGATATCCATCATCTAACCAAACTTATTGAAAACGACAACTTTGACTTCTACATTGCAATCGTATCTATATCAAAGTGCCCGAATTATGATAATCTTACTATGAAAAATTTTGATTACACCTTAGAATTTTTTAGTAAGACTTACTTCGCTAATGGAATAGTGTAAAAAGTGAAATGAAAGCAAAAACTTGCACTTGCTTCATGCAGAAAGATAAGTTCGCACAATCTCAGTCACAAATTTGCGTCAGTTGGACTCAGCCGCAAGAAGTTGAAGTCACTCATAAGAAATGTCAAAATATTTTTATCAAAGCTATTTTTTTCTAGCAATGATGATGGATGTGTTTAGAAAGGTATCCTGTATTGATTAAAGCTTGGTCGATGGCCGTCAATTAGGAGGCTACACTTTTCTTCGCTTATCTTGCCCCCTGTGCTGTGTTGATGGACGAAAAGACGTGAGGCAAGGGAAGGAGATAGGAAGCAGCACGATGGGTGTATAGTCAATCGGCCTTTATCTAAATCGATGCTATTATTGACCCATGCTAAGAGATAAAATATACCATACAAAATGTCCGGTCTGTATAACTTCTGATGAATCGAATATGTTCCTTATTGTGGGGGTAAATGCAGTAAGAAAAAACAATAACACCTTCAAAAGAAGCTCTCACCTCGCGGTTCGATTAACTGTCAGTTCGACGGGGTATTGACAGCTTGCCGCGAACGATAGAGTATTTCGGTTGAATGTGTGTTGTTATACAAGCATTTCATATTTGGTTTCTTTGATGGTTTGGTTTATTTGATTTTTGCAATTTATGCGCTTGACTGACTGACAAGTGAACAAACAAAATTTCGTCTTGTTTTTGTAATTGAATTACATATACAAATTGAATGGGCAAAGAAGAAGAAGAAGAACAACAACAATTTGTATACATATAAATTAATAAACAATTAAAGAATTTTTAATGAAAACGTATTTTCCTATATGGTAAGCAACAATTGACCATATTTGCGAGCGCTGTTCCTCTAACATGGAAATGGCACAAGCTACCATATGTAAAATTATTAAAAAGAAAAATAAAATATATTCATACGACAGTTTGTTGTCGTTTTTCGTTTTTGTTTTTTTTCGTTGTTTTTTTAATTACTTCCGTGCCATTAACACTCTTGTTAACCGTTTAGCTTGTTCTTAAGAAAGCGATTACGATGACGACGACGACGACTTATTAAATTTTAGTTGAAGTTTGTTTAAAAAAAAATTTATTTTAAAAATCAAAGCTAATTGTTTATCATATTTATTAATGTGCATTTGTTTATGGTTAAAATATATTTGTTTATTATTACATTTATGTATACTTGTTGAAAAACTCGCACACATACACAATGAATTCATCGTACGCATACCCGTGGACTCAAATTGGTGAATATTATTACAGCTGCTCTATACATGGTAAGCGGAAATGTTTTTTTCCTCGATAGTATCTTTTGTACTTTTATCTTATGGTGTTCAGTTTTTAAAAATATATATATATTTTTCGTTTATCATACTAGAATAATGAAAACAAAACATTTGTTTAAAACGTTGAACAAAAAAATCCTAATTAATTAAAGGTCAAACGCTCTCTCATCCGACCTCACGTTTCCAGTTGCGTGTAATCGTGTTAGTCTACATTCAGGACAACATTTATCCGGTTACCGGTTAGTCGTATCGATGTAAGTTTTTTTTTGTTTTTTGAAAGGGATTTTAGTGAACATTGAAAACGTGCAACAAGAGTTTCTCTTGCCCGTGAACAAGTTCCGGACATTAGATCACTAGAGATTTCTCTACCGTTCTCATATTAAGACTCAATTTATGTGAATAGAATGATAATCGAGGTGCATCGGAAAGGAATTAATTTCCTAAAAGGATTGTGTGATGTGAGTTCATGTTTATTCACCAACTGCTGCCCTGCACTGCCTACCGTACAGAATACTAAATCCTTTACGCGCAGAAGTCGACAATTCGATAGATAACTTTTGCAAGTGTTCCGGCTGTTCTTCGAGTCTCCAATGCAGTTTTAATTCTTTAGGGATTACAAGAGTACACCAGAACGAAAAGTATCCTAGCGCTCTCTCCTGGACAGTAAATTGGAGGTATATCCAAGAGTGATTGTAAAACATAAAAAAGTCGCTTAGGGCGATCTCTGCCTGAGAGAAATGTTATACTGAAAATACCCTGAGTAACTATTTTGCTCTCTCGGCCGTCAATAGTTGCACTAAGACGGGAGAAAATGTGAATTTTTACTTGCGTTTGACTTTGAAATTCAAAAACGTTTTTGAAATTCTATTGCTGTTGCAATTGAAAGCGAACTCTCACTTGAAATTCCATTAATGTATCAATGTATCAAGACGGAAATTTGTTTCAAATCAAAGACAGGGAAATGCCATACAGTGGACATTTTTTTATAATTAATTCGAGTTACATATGTAGCCCGTATGGCATGCAAGCTGAATATTGAATTTAGTTAAAGCTTTAATTGCAGTTATTTTTTGTTCTTATTCTAACACTTTCTGTAGCCGTGATTGTGAAGCTTAAGTCATCTTAAATGAACTGAAAAAAAAAAAAACAACACAATCGCAATCGCAATCGCAACAAAAGGCAATAATTTAACAGAAAAATGTTGTAAATTTTTACGGAGTGCTGCTGATTAACTCACGTTTGCATAATAAAATAATAGCAACGGCAACAACAATAACGGCGTTTATGGCGCCAACTATAAAGTCATTATAACAATGTTTTCTACATACTATTGTACAGCATGGTATGGTGTTGTTTAGAATAGAAGTCGATAACATTTTCCTTACTCCAAGTAACCAAGGGTGGGAGCGTAGGAGAATAATGGATGGAAAGTCCTTTGGTGTTGTTCAAACAAAACCATAAAATAATTGTAATGAATTGTGCAACTTTTGCTCTTTTGCATCAACTGGACAATCTTTATTTATTCATTCCCTTCAGTTCAAATATTTATATATAGCTTTTATATTAGCTTATAGCGCTTCGACAAACGCTAGGATATTGTTTTGCGGGCACTTTGATACCCGCAAGCACTACGTCGCTGGCCACTGCCCTACACTATTATTTATGTATTGTGCATATTACAGACGGCTAGTATGATTTCTTGGATAAGTAGTGCACCAGAATATCACGCTTAAAAGAAAGCTCCTTAAGTGAACGCGCCTTAAGTGTCCAAGCAAAGTAATAAATATTTAACAAAAACACTCGATATGAAAACAATCAACAATAGACTGAATTTACAAAAGAGGTTTCGCGTGCCTCCTCGATGTTAGCAAACAGTCATTCCTATAAGATATTTCATTTACAAAGTTCTATTAGTGTATTAATGCTATTGACTTGCAGAAAAATACGGGTTGTTTTGAACTATTTTACAATCTTCGTATACCTATACGTCGATCGACGGCTAATATTTCCAAGAAAGAGTATAGAAACTATTGATGGGTATTAGTATAGTATACGTTCGTCTCAAGCTGAAGGTAATTAATTTTTGGTTTTTTGCATAAAAGACTCGCGCTTACATGAGCTGACACAGCCAACTCTCATGCAAAGAAGGAGAGTAAAGTCTCGTTGTTTAAGTAAGTGTTAAATGCGATAAAAGAAATACAAGAGTAAATATGTATGCGTATACGCATATGAAAAGGAAATTATTTACTTAATGTCCATATTAAAAATGTATTAAATTTTATTTTTCCCTTCAAAGTGGTAATGTTCAGAGAAGAGAGAGATTAAAAGCAAAAGACAAAAGCCTTTTCTTTTCAGCTGTGGCATTGAAGGAATTGCAAGCGCTTTTGTTTTTAATGTTGTTTGTGTTGTTTTTATTGTTATTGTAAATAAATTGATTTCAAAATGACATTTGTGGAGGATTTGACATTGACAGTATTGAAAATGAAAAATGACATTTAAAAGTGGTTGAGAATTAATAAGCCGCACTGCATACATGCGCATTGTAACTTCCCTGTAAACAACATCATATAATTTACAACAATTTTTTATGGTCTTTTGATAATTCTTTAAAGAGTTATAAAATTTTAAATGGCCGAGACAGACAGACATCATGGGTTAATCATTTAGTTTATCGTCTCAAATTGACAGGAAGGCAGGTAGTTACATATTAAAATCGTCTATAAAGATAAAAAGCAATGACTTACCTCGTCGTTTGTGAAGACCTCGATATTTGGTAGGTGATAAGATTGGTGGCCGCGGAGCCATCATTTGTGGCACCTCATCAGCATTAGCAGCACTAGTTTTTTGATTGGTGCTAGTTGATGTGTGATGGCGTTCACTGGCCTGACGCCAGTTGCTAAAAGAATGACGTCTTGCCCCTGCACTGGGTAACGTATGATGATGATGATGATGATGATTATGATGATGGTGTTGCTGTTGCTGATGATGATGGGGAGTCTTGCTAGAAAACAGAACAGAACAAAACAAAACAACAAATGTTGAAATATTTAAAATGATTACTTTTCTGCACGATTGGCTGTGTTAAAATGTATGCAACACAAATGTTGCCAACAGCTGCACATATCACTTTTACTTTAGAGAAGATCAAGGGAATTAACTATTAATGCTCGCCTGTCATCACAAGGATTGATTATATATATAGTCGTGTTGTTTTGTTGTTGTTGTTGTTGTTGTTTTATTTTGTTTTTTCCTTCTTACTTACCTTGGTGATGTGCTGCTGAAAACATCATCTTGTTCAAAATTATGATGGCTTGTGTTGTTTGCTTCATGACAGGAACTTAAACGTTCGCGAAATGTTTCCGAATGTGAATTTGATGAGCGAGCACGTCTTTGATGCAAAGTAGCAGTTATTTGCGGTTGTAATTGATGTTGTTGCTGCGTTTGCTGCATCAATGGCTGCAGTTCAAACGTTTGCTGCTATTAGATAGATAGATAGAATAGAAGAAGAAAACAAAAAATGAAAATAAACGAAAACGAAAACAAAAACAAAAACATCGTTCTATGTTAGTGGAAGGAAGTTGTGTGCAGCATAGTGTGTTAATCTTATTTACATTGCATATCATGATTATTAGGAATTTTAAATGTATTACGCACATGAACATATTATGTATAGTTGTATAATTTTTTCTTTATTTAACTTACATGTGCGAAACCACTTACGGCACCAAAATTACCACGCGGACTTCCCAATGTCAATGAGGCAGCTGTATCCAGATTGGCAGAAGTAATTAATCGCGTTTGTTCCGGTATTACGACACGCGGGCTATTGCCCTTTGAGTTTCGTCGCTTGAATATCGAGAAGCCTTTGCTGGAGCTCTGTGAATCAGGTGTGCGCGGCGATTTCGGATCATTGTAGAAATAATACGGATTATCTGGGAAAGAGTAACACAAATCGAGATTTTATTATGAAAAGAAAGCTCAAGTTGGTCGAATTAGACGCGTTTGGATTCTTTTAGTTTAAACACATAAAAAACATTCCCATCGTAGTTAAATCATTCAAAAATATCACATCTATCTGAGCGGCGTAAGTGTTCAAATTCTCTAAAGAAGTTGTTTTGGTTATATTTGATTATATTTATGATGAGATAGATCGCTTGTCACACTTTTATGCGAGATCGTAGTTCCAAATTCGTGCTCCATCAAGATTACAATACGAAAGCGAGCGCCAAGTCAATATGCTGAACGCTTGACAGCTTGTTTAGCACTTGAAAAATTCAATACGACTTTAAATATATACTTATATACATGTAAATATATGTGTGACATTTGGTTGCTAGTTCTTCTGAAAACCCATTCGGAAACGTCTAATAGCCAGTTCAGCCTCATATGGGCAATAGCAAGCGTACTCTGCCTTCTTTAGGTATACTTTATTAATTTTTTTAATTTCAAAGGATGAAAACTTAGTAAGAAACGAGTAAGAAGATTATTACTGCTTTATGGTAGGTAGGTCTGTGAGATGACGATCATTTTATACCAACACATACCAACACATATCGAAAACGTAAGCGTGTAAGTTGAAGTCAATTCAGTTTTTTTATAGCAATGCTTCCTGATGACTTTGAGAAGGGTTTTTATCAAAGCCAAGTTCAGTCTCACGTCTAAGTCGCAAGTTCACGTTTATCATTTTTGCTTGAAAGTTTCTATTTCAAAATTTGCACATATGTCTGATCGCACATTCAAATAGGAGCACACTATCATTTTTAAATCAGATTTCTTCCACTAAATTAAGTTAGAAACTCAGACGAAACCTTCTACCAGTTGTGCTCAGGAATAGATGCTCTTAACCGGGACTCAAATATAAACTTCTATGCATTGTAAATGTTTAACAAATGGAATATAGGATAACCCCTGCCGTTAGGGTAATTAGTTTATTATGCTCGCGTAATCCGCTCATGAGTATAATAAAACATAGAGTATTCTTTAAGAGAAAATTGAAATTAATTTGCATTGAATTGCACATGAATTCTCTTTAACACAAACGTACATGAGGCGAACGTTACTTCGAGCAAAAGTTTCATTTTATTTGTAAAGAGCTTACATTTAATTCTCTGTAAAAGCATGTTTGTCTGTTTAGTTCAGATAAAAGAGAAATTATTTGAACGCAGTAAAAAAATATTTAGCGTTTAATTAGGAACGTCTTTGTGCCAAGTAGCTGTTATGATATTTGTTGAAAAGTCTCATTTTTTACAATGTATTTAAAAAAAAAAAAAAGTGTAAGCTTGTTGTGCAGTTAGTTTATTTTTTTTTATTATTGCTACGACCATTTTATCAAAACGTTTGCAACACCCAAGCTTATATATTCTAGATTAACACCTAGGCATGATCGTTCTTCTATCTGTTAGCCTCTGCGGCTTTGTATGGTGAAAATTCTTTCGACCGCTAAAGTTAATGGGAGTAAGATAAGAAGTCCACAGTACTAGATAAATGGAGGAAATCGGTTTTTCAAAGCGAAAGAATTTTGCGTTTTGCTCATTGCTCATATACTGCAACAAATAAAGGAATAAAACTGTTCGCATATTCGTACGAAAATGAAAAAATCCAATAGTACAGAGTAAACACAAATTTCTTGCGTTTCCTTTCCAAGAAAGAACTGATGGTTATGAAATACTCGACCACGGCTGAATATAACTTCTTTGCTCTTTTCCTTTGCTTCTGTACGATTACAAGAAGCATCGTTGACGTCTAAGAGATTTTTAATAAATATTATCGCAAGCCGGTAATGGTAAAGAGCTTAAAAGTCTCCATGTAAAACTCAAACGGCATTGAGCATCACACAGTGACCGACATTATGTACTGTGACAAACGGAGGGAACAATGGTACTATTTTTTTTTTAAGGAGTGTGTTTGTCTGCATCAGTAGCCAATTGGATGACAAGCGCGGTTACTTACTATATAGTTTCGTCACAACAACAATTTGTAGAATAACAAATAAACGGACGGATGGACTACATAAATGGATTTCTAAGCACAAATTACTTTGCGACTTTAAGAGGTGCGATAAGTTTCGGAGTGACAGCGAATTACGAATATAAAGGATCTCCGTTGTATGATCTCTTGTCGACTAAAAAAAGATTGGTGGAGCGAATGTTTGCGGTTTGCGGTGTGGAAATAAAAATCTTCCTAAATTCGTCACTATTCACAATTCAAGAACACTTGAAATCAGTCTTCACCGTTTCGACGTAAGTTTTACCTAAAATCTGGCGAATTATGCGAAAGAGAAATAAATGAAAAGAGAATCTTGATACGTATCCACTACACTGTTTTCCTTTTCTTCTCTCTCTTCCTCTCACATTGAGAGTTAAAATTAATTTATATGAATAATATTTTAAGTATCTTTTATTACACGCACACAAAGTTTGTTATATATAAGAAATAGTATTATGCTCGACACGAGTTATGGATGCCTATGCCTTCAATCTAAGGATAATCTGTATAAGGATAAAGGATCTTCATGGTTACCTCAAGACCGTGCGAACGTCAACATACCACTCTTTAGTTATCTATCCTTAAAATTAAGAGCTAAATGGCTTTTTCCGTAAAGCTCTTGTTTCGTTCGTCACTTAATATCACTTCTGTTTTAAAAGGCGCTGAAGTATGCTGACGTCTTACTGTACATACAGATTTTGAACAATTTTCATATTCAAACCCGTGGCTTTTGAGACATCACATGAAAGACTTTGTGTGAAGTTTAAGATTGTTTTCAAAACTTTAGTGGACAGACGGACATAGTTACATTCATTTAAAATGGCACATGTTCCTCTATCTGAATGTGAATGTACGGGCGTCACGTGACGTGAAATGACAAAATTAGTGTATCTGCGATCTTATCGAGGAAATTATAAAAAATCGTATTAAATAGAATGATTATATAAAATAAACTGAGTTAAATATTATTTACCCGAAAATAATGTATTGGTTTGATTATCCACCGTAACAAACATCTTTATTGGATTTTTTAAAGCTTTTTTTATTTATTATTGTAATTATTTAAAATATAGTTACGGATCGTTATATGACAGACTGTTAAGCACTTTATATTTATTATTTATATAAAATTTATGATTACTTTATGAAAAACACAAAAAAGTTTCACTATTATGCACAACTCAAAATCAACATAAAAAATGAAAATTTATTCTGTTGTCATTTAAAAAAAAAAATTATGAAAAGAAATTTATTAATAATTGATTTTTATGAGATTTTATTATTCACTCTATATGCAGTGTGCAACCAAAAATAAACTTCACTTTTTGTTTTAACGTTTTATGAGTTTAGGTTTAGGTCTTTTTAGGTGTATGGTGGGGGTTGATGTGATGTGTGTATCTTGAGTTTTTATGTGTGACTAGTTTTCTGTGAATGTAACGTATTTTTACGTAATTTTTGATATATTTTCGCCTTAGCTTTCAAATGAAATAAAAAATTGTAAACTATAGAGCCGTTATGCGTGTTGTTGCATTGACATTCCGGAATGGAATAAATTCTGAAACTCTTCCACACACACGAATCATATGCAACAAGCGGCAATTGTATACGCGGTGATAGGCGTACAAAACGGAGAATTGTCTGTTTAGCGTTTGGATTGCTTTGGTTGCTCGATCGTTTCGCTTTAGCACATGTGTAGGAGCGTGCTTGTGTGTATATGTTTATTTATTTTCTTTTTATGTTTTTTTATGCTTTGTTTTCGAACATAGTTCTTGTGGCTTCTTGAAAAATACGCTCGCACACATGCGCACATGCTTTTCATACTAACCATCAATTATTTCATATCGCGTTCACCGCCACCATCGTTCATGCCCGTGTGCATAGGCGCAATCACTCTATTGCAAAACTGTATAAATTGTTTCGTTGTGTTATGTATGCGTAGATGGGAGCGCGCATTTATTTGTCCCGGCTTCTCTCTGTCCGTGCGCATATGCGTATTAAAAACAACAACAACAACAACAACAACAAATTAGATCACATAATCAGCATATATGCTAAACAACATATTATTGTACCCACATTTAAAAATTGTTGTTATTGTTGTTGTTGGCATGAAAAGAAATATGTAACTTTATGGAATGGGTTTTTGTTATCTTCTCTCTACCTCGCTTTCTTTCGTTTTCTGACTTTCTTTACTTGACCTTTCTATTCGAACTAAATGAACTTATTCTTCTCCTCTTACGGTGCCTGAGCGAGCAAACACTCTTTCATTTGTTGGTTAATCTGTGATTTTTCTAACTTATAACCGGCACTTTATTCTTTAGCCCTCGTAATTGATATTCCATACATGACCAAGATCTTGTAGAACGTTTCAAGAATTTCTAATATTGTTTGTTTAAAAATTTCTCTCTTTATTTCTTACAAATTGATTCTAGTTTTATTTAGCCCTGTCTTTTTTATTTAGACTTAAACTAAAAATTTTTTTATTCATATTAATATTGAAAAATAATAATAAAAACTATTTTTTCTTTGTATAGCTTCTCCGAATTTTTTCTGTTTAACAAGCTATTAAGCACTAAATGAGTCGCTTCGAAATTCATGACTTAAATATTCCCACACTTTATTGACAGCGTTTGCTTAATATCGAAGATTTCCCATTTAATGTTCTTTCAATTAGTTCCATACACAATGTATGTGATAAATAATTGTTCATGTGTTTGTTAATGCAAACGTTATGCATTTTCAAAGTCGTACAAGGAGAGAGAGATGCGGAAAATGAACTTAATGAAGTTAAGCGACGAAGTTCTATTCGCTTTGCACGAAATTTGCATGCATAGGAAGATCCTTCAGATCAGTCAATCCATAAGTCCAATGATGTCGATTTTCCGCCCAAGGTATATACAACTTTGGGTAAAACACTAGATCGGAGGCAAGCTTTTCATGTTTTATA